GCACCACTGTAATTGTATTGATCATTCACAGTAAAGAATCTGGCTGCCTTGTTCTTATTTAGCTGAAGTTTCCAGACTCTTTTCAACTGCAACCCCACATACAGTCCACTGCTGTAGTCCAGCAGCAAGGTTACCAGAACATGGGCAATTGTAGCAAGTGTCTCTCTCTCCAGATGCAGTCATACGCCTAAGCTGATGAAGAGCATTCTTCGTCATGGAAGCTGTTTGAATCTGCAGTGACAATGCTGGATTCTGTTGGGATATGGCAAGATCCAATATTCTACCCATTGTGGGTTAATGTGCTTAAAGACTTCACCTGTCCCTTTTTTCAGTGAGGCTCTGTAAAAGGGGATTACCATATTTTTCTGTGTATAAGATGATACTTTTATTTAAAATATTTAGATTAAAAATTGAGGGTCAACTTATACATGGAAGTAAGGAGGGGGGGGATCAAAGTGCTTTGATTCCTGCTTTCCCCCTCCACTTTCTTACGAGGAAAGTGCTTTCCCCCTCCACTTTTTGTGAAGAAAGTGGAGGGGGAAAGCAGGAATCAAAGCACTTTCTTGTGAGGAAAGTGGAGGGGGAAAGCAGGAATTAAAGCGCTTTGATCTATGCCTTCCCCCTCCACTTTCTTTCGAAGAAAGAAATTTTGGTTTAGAAAAATGTGTGGGGGTATCTTATACATGAGGGCCTCTTATACATGGAAAAATATAATTGTTTTTGCCTCTATCTCTCAAACCCACACTTCACTGGTGCTGACTGGCTGAGTGAGGCAGAGACCTTGTGTGCTTGCCTGTTTGTCGGCGTTGCCTGAGCTGCGGCCGCCCTACTTGCTTTTACTGTTTGGTATGTTTTGTTATGTAGCTTTAGTACTTTTATTGTTTTCTTAGGCTGTCCCATTTACCTTTTCTTAAGAGAATTAGATAAAGATTATTACTTAAATTTTGTCCCAGTGTCTCAGATTTCTCTCCCTCAGATTCAAGAGCATGTGAAGCTAAGAATCTGATTCTTTACATTCCTTCCTTTAGGAGGAATGTAAATGGGAGAAGTTTAACATCTAGCCAGGTCGATGAACCATCTACTGACAGACCCTCCAGTTTATCTGGCTTCAGATTCAGTTTATTGGCTCTGAAACCACTATTTATCAAGAGCTCAGAAAAGTGTTTTTGGTTTTGTTTTTTTGAATGGTAACTCTGAGAATCCCCCAGCTAAACTTTGACCTCGCTGTGCTCTGACACCAGTTTGGAGATCTAGTGCCACTATGAAATCAGCAGAAGAGGAAAGGCAGAGTTCATTTTAATTTGCATTGATTATATCTGAGTGCACATCTGTGGATAACAATCTCCCTTGGCAGTTTCTTGTACGACAAGGCAGAGCATTAATTGCCAGTACTACCTGTTGCAAACAATTTTCCAGTTTGCTACAGAAACAGTGCTATTAGTACCTCTAAGTCAAGGCATTCTACCGGGAGCTCCTCCATAGTCAATGATGTTGAAGCCCCCTGAGAACTGCAAGAGAACCAACAGGGTTTCACTCCCCTTGTATCTCCCCTTGTATCTCTCTTTCTCAGCCTTTCTTCATTGCAATCAAAGCAACATATCTTCTAAAATCAGACTTAAAGGCATATGAAATAAATCTAGAAATCATTTTTCTTCTGAAGATGGTTGGAGCTGGCTACTGACAACTTGCTAAAACACCTTGTTTCGGAAGAGGATGCTAGGGATGCCACAGCTCCAAAAATATTATGAAGCTTTACAAATAAACCAAATTATTAAACTTATACAAATTGACGAGACTTGTATGAATTCTGATTGGTCGAAATGGAAAGTGAAATGAAAATGGACATAGTAAATAAGTATATTTACACCACTAAAATAATTAGAAAAGGAGAACAAATACAGAACCCATACATTTCTGAAACATTAAGGATATGGAGAAAACATAGTAGAACATTGCCCCCCCCCCAGTATCCCCTTTATATCCCCTTTTGGATCACCCAGATTTTAAGTCTAAAGAGAAATATGCACAATTTAAGGAGTGGAAACAAATTGGAATATATAGAATTACTGACTTATTTGATTCCATGGAACCAATCACTATTAGGCAAACAGAAGAGGAAACAAAGCAAATAAAAATCAATTGGCTACAAATAAAACAAATAAGAAGTTTTGCTGTTCACTTACAACAAAAAAACTGGCTCTCTAAGAACATTAACTGAATTTGAACAATATTGTATTCAAAAAGATAAAAATAAAAAGAGAGTACTAACCTCACTAATATATAAAAGCATTATTGAGAAAGAATATGGAAAAGGTGGAGGATCTAAAACAGTGTGGGAAACAAATTTAAATATTAATATATCTGAGGAGATTTGGACAGGAATTTGGAAAAAAAATACCTATATATATCTATATCAGCAAATGTGAAAGAAATGGTTCTGAAGGTAGTGCATCGGTGGCATCTGTACCCTACAAAGTTACATAAAATTAATATATCCGATAAATGTTGGAGGAACTCTTTTTGTAAATTTCTTGCCCCAAAATAGAAACATTTTGGCACAAGGTAATTAGATGGATAGATTTATTTATTTATTTATTTATTTGATTTATACCCCGCCTATCTGGTCTACTCAACCACTCTAGGCGGCTAGAGACACTGACTAATCAAAAAATAGATATTAATGAAACATTATTGCTGTTTTCATTATTCACAGGGGGAAATGAGAAACTAGAAAATAAAGAATTAGTTGCAAATCTTATAGGCACCGCAAGATCTGAAATCACTAGAAATTGGAAAAAAGCCCAAGATCTCTCATTGCAAGCATTCACCAGTAAAATATGGTATACAATGTTGATGGAGAAATGACTAATAAAGTTAGATTACATAGAGGAGAAATAAGCACAGTCAATTCACTGAAAATTGGAAGCCTTTATTAAAATATGCCAACAAAATAGACTTTGAGATATGTGGTTTGGAAAACAATTAAGATTGTTGGTTGATATTTCTTTAAAAGGTGACGGGGAATGGTATAAATGTAATTTGGAGAATTGTGGGGAATATCTTTGTATTTATTATTTGTAATATGATGGATTGTCTTTTCATTCTTTAGAAATATAAATAAATAAATTTTAAAAAACTACAAAAAAGGTATTACTATTTGCCATCATGCTTGAGTACAAGAACAATGGAAGACCAGCAACAAAATATTACTGTATCTTCAGGCCGTAACCGAATGCTCTTGTGTAAGGCTAGGCCCTGGAATAGGAGTGCCTCTTAGTATGTATGTGTGGGGCTCCGATGGGAGGATAGAAAAAAAAAAATTACCTTCTTCTTCTGTGCCATATAATGTTAAGAGGTAAGGTTTAGGATTTACTGACAACCCTAAACTGCAGTGCTGTACATGTGTCTGTTTGTTACATTTGTATCCTGCCTTTAGGCTAACACAGGAAGGCATATGTGGGTCTTCCAGGCAGAGAAAGTATGATTGGAATAAAGTTATCCAATGAACAGTTATCACTGTCTGGAGATTTGAACTTGGTCTCACTAGTCCTAATCCAGTACTCCAACTATGTACAGTGGACCCTCTACTTACGGAATTAATCCGTATTGGAATGGTGTCTGCAAGTCGAAAAGTCTGCAGGTCGAATCTCCATTGACCTACAATGCATTGAAAACCGATTAATCCCATAACCGGCGGTTTTTATTCTATTTTTGTTCCATTTTGGGTTTTTTCTGGTCTGTAAGTCGATTCTCCGGCTGCAAGTCGAATCTAAATTTTGCCCCCAGAGAAGTCTGTAACTTAAAAAGGCTGTAAGTCGAGCCGTCTGTAAGTCGAGGGTCCACTGTACTACACTGTATGAAAAGTGTTAGGAGATGTTTCAAATGGGTAGGAAATTTTTAAAAGTATATGAGCATATTTCTAAAATATGCTTATATAGTTTATAGAGAAGATTTTTTTTTAAAAAAGCAGCTTATAGCATACATGTCCTTGACCCCAAGAACCCCTATAAACTGTCAGAACTTCAAGAAAACCAACCTGTCCTCCATTATATACCCCCCATCAGTTAACACACTCAACATTCAGTAGCATGTGGCAGAAACTGAACACAGTTATTTGTTGGGTCGTTTTATTGGGTTTGAAAATATACTTAGGAAGTTCCCTTATCTATCATGTTTTGGCTGTCCCGATTTTATTTCCAAACTGATAGGCATTGAGCCACCCAAGTTTGGTATCGGGAAAAATTAGATCTTATACAAGCATTGCCTTTTATGATGAAATGCTACTTGCATTTTTATTCTGTGCTTGGCTCCCAGCTCTGCAGGCATTGTGCATGGCATCTCAAGGGCCGTTTAAGGACAGTAGTTCCCTAGCAATACTAAATATCTGTGCCAGACAAAGAACTGGGCTGCATTTCAAGAAACAGTGGCCCAGTTGGCTATGTCTAGGGATAAGTGAAAACCTCAGTCAGAATCCGCTAGCATTTGAATGGGGAAAATAAGATGGGCAGATGCGTCTGTCTCTAACTCTGCCCCATTACTTTAACATGCAGTTATTGTATTTTAGTTCTTCAGTTATGGCAACTGAAGTAGGCAAGCACGTCTAGGTTCTTAATCTGAATTAATCCTTTATGTTTTGATACTTATCAGTTACTGACTGTCCAAAGGATTCTTACACAGAGATCAAACAACAGCTTACTAGTTTTGACCTTTTCCCTGCAACACATTTTCACCGTGTCTGCTCCTCTGCTTTGTTTTTTATTTTTTTCCTGTTTAGCCAATTGCTAAACAAGTTGCTATTTCTGTGGATATTATGGCACAGCCACTGAGTTGAGGAATAAATATCTTGCAGCAACATCGCACATCACTTTTTATTAACCTTTGTTGTCTTGCTACGTAATGATATGTCATGTCTGTTAACCAAGGCAATTTGAAGTGCTTTTATATTTACTTATCTTTTTACATGGATGAATTATACATCATGGCTGTCTATCTCAATGTAGGTGTGTAACAGTCAGAAGCTGTGCAGCACTCTAAGGAGGAAAGTCAGCAATATTGAGACTCAACTACCAGCTCTTCTTGAAGCCAAAATACTTGCTGTATCAGGTAATTGTTGGTGGAATTGAAAAAATGCAATACTATTTCATGGTTGTGAAGTTTTCATTGTAACCTGAATGTGTAAAGGCATCAACTGTGATTTTTGTTAGCTCAAAACGGCATTGTTCTATAAACAAAGGAACAGAAAGAGGTATAAGAATTAACATGTCTCTGCTTTAAATGACATTTCCCAGTGGAATACAAGAGTTGGCAGCTTCTGCTTATTCAGATCAATAAACAGCTAATGCTGGCACCATTAAGAGCTATTTATCTTTGGAATGACTATACGTATTTATACTACGCAAAACACTGCTATGTGAATATAAAGTTCACAGCATATTATGCTATTATATATGTATTCATAACAGCTTTTTAATGCCATGAACTCTTTGAGTTACTATAGTCCCTGCTTAAAAAAAGAAGAGGGGAGGGGAAAGAAAGAATTATATGCACACTTGTGTTGCTAATTTGAAGAGCTGAGGAGTAGAAAACCTTTCTATTAGGCAGGGAGCCAGTACTGTGAATGGATATGTGATTGAAAAAGAAACAGTTCTGTAATGTATTTTATGCATGGAGAGAGGTTATGCGTGTGTGCTTTTTGTGCTAACCAGCTTATACAGTCTTGTGCAGTAGAGCTTTGCAATTTGAGATGAAATAAGGACTTCTGAGGGTATATCAAAAAGTGTGTTTGCCTGTTAACAAACTGATATGGCTTTGGTATGAGGGTATGGATGAGTATGATGATGTAGCCAGTTCCTCTCTATGTGTTCCCATATTTAATGGCAATGTGCTGCCATTTGCATTTTGGAAACTAAATACTAGAAAATGGGCACAAAGACATTTCAATGTACCCTCATATAGTTATCAACCTTGGGGATAATTTGAAGGGATTTTTACCTAACTCACTACTAAACTGGGATTCTCACACTCCTTTTCTCTTGTCATTCATCTGTAACCTATTTGGCTTTGGCCCACATCTGACTAATTTACTGGGCAATTACATTTTTCTTGCCCTTCAAGTGACTTTTGCCTCTGCTGTGGAGAGATGTTCTTGCATTCTTAAGGGGAGCTCTGTATTTTGAGCCTGATGTAAACTGGAATAAATATAATGTGTACCTAGGACCTCACTATAATAGTTCTGCAGAGCAGGCCCATATTGCTGATGGAGCTGGCAATTGGGAGTAGGGAGTCATCTCTGATTATGATCTTTTTTAAAAAAAAACTAAAATGTCTTCGCCCTGTGTGGTTCAAGGAATAATTCACAGAAGATATACATTGCCTTGCCAAAGTTACCATAATCTTTCACTTCTATAATTCTTCCTGATGGGGGCTTTCCAGTATGGACACATGTAGCTGATTCTAAATCTAGGCTACTGTGGTCACGTCACAGGCTGGGTAGGCAGCTTATGGCCTTTCAGAGGTTATTGGAATTCATATCCCAACAGTCTTGGCTAATTTAGGCTGTGGTGACAACTGGTGTGTGTTACAATCCAACAACATGTGAAAATCTACAAGTTATCCTTGCTTGCATTATGGCCACCATGAAGGGTAGATTTAATATTTGGTATACCCTGTTTTCTCAAAAATAAGACCTAACCTGAAAATAAGCCCTAGTATGATTTTTCTGGATGCTCGTAATATAAGCCCTACCCCCCAAATAAGCCCCAGTTAAGTGAAACCCTGCCCTCCACCATTGTGTAGCAACGAGAAGAAGATGACATAACTGTATTTGAATAAATGTAGGTTGTTGTACATGAAACAAAAACATCCCCTGAAAATAATCCCTAATGCGTTTTTTGGAGCAAAAATTAATATAAGTCCCTGTCTTATTTTGAGGGAAAGATGGTGAAAAAATGAAGATTCCGCTGGTGATGAAAGGTCTTAATTGCAACAGAATCTGGTCATATTTGTGATTTGCTCATGGATATATGTTTGTTTTCCTTTTCATATTTTGAAAAGCAGCTGGACACTATCTGTATTGTGTATCTTATTATTTAGTGCCCTTCAATATAATTTGTCTTTTAAAATATTTACATTTTTTGTTTCCTATAGCTATTTTATTATTTTTACAAGATACCTTCTGCACCACACTATATAGTTTGTTATATGTATAAAAATAGTCTTATTATTATGACTGGATAGCTGATTAGGAGTGAAATTAGACAGAAGACAGTTTGCCACGTAACTGTTTACCTAGGAGTAGGTGCTGTTTTGTTCCAAGAAGTCTGCCAGGTGTTAAGTTGCATGGTTGAACCTTCCTGTTTGCACAGTTCATATGTGGGCTGACACTAGTACCTACTTTTAATGATGTAGATTGATTATTGACTAACTGATGGTGGTTTACCTATCTCTGCATTAGGTTTATAAATGGAATTGAGCCTAAGAATCTTGCTTCCAGTTGTACTGCCCTATTCATCATGCCTTAAATCTGTTGTTTTCAAAACTTCATTATTAACTCTGTTTAGATCAGGGGTCAGGGAACTTTTTTACCTTTTTACCCCCCCAAAATTTATATACGCCGACATTACACCCTTGATTTGAAAGGAAAGATCTCAGTCACGTGCGGCCAGTCAAGTGCCGCCGCCGAAGCCTCGCTGCCTGTATCTGGGTGCCACTGCCTCCTCCTGTTGGGGCCGCGCTCAGTCCTTGGCCCCGTGGGGGCGGCTCCTCTTCTCCGCTGATGGGTGGCTCCTGGGCAGCTGTCAAAGGGCAGCAGGTGGCTCGTCCGCCAGGGGCACCCAACGCCACCTACTGCTCTGGCACCAGCAGCAGCTCGCCAGGCCACCTCTTCAGGCACTGGAAGGAGAGGCTTCTCCTGGCCGGGGTGCTCCGGCTGCTCACCATGGCCTCACCCTCCGCCCTGGCCAGCCCCGCCGCTGCCGCCTCGGCTGCCCTACACCACCATCCAGGACCCATTGCCATCCGCCATTTGCCGTGGCTCGGTTGCAGCCAGGCTGGAGAAGGGGGCAGTAAGGGGGCGATCAGGCAGCTGGGGACCCCCCCCCTTCAGGCAGAAGAGGAGGAGGAGGGAAGGGGTTAGGGTTGCGTCCTCATTACCCCCAGGATTTTCATTTTTACCCCATTTGGGGTAATTCACCCCTGTTCCCTGACCACTGGTTTAGATCTTTTGCACTACCTATCCCTAAAAAGTACCCACAATGTCTACAAGCACAGTGAAAATAACAAATAAAAAGATCAACATGATATTTTTAATCTGTGAGCTCTTCTATGCCTGTTATACTTCAAGTGTTTAGGATCACAAAGGGAGAAATCATGGGTTTTGTGCAGAGATATTTAGTGCAAAATGCAGAAAACTCGATTAAAAATTCTAGTATTCTTGTCCTTGTGCTGGAATTAAGAAAATTAAAAGAAAATACAAACATGATGTCCTCCACCTCCTCCTTCTGTTGAAATAGTTTAACCTGAGTTACACCAAACAGAATTGTTTTCATTTGCTGTCTAGAAGAGACCAGAAGTTCAGATAGATGTTAAAGTATGAACACTGGGGTGCTATTGATGCCATATTGGCATTCAAGTACACAATTTATGTACAGTGGAAGGATTTTTCTACTATTTTATGCAATGGAAATATGAGTGTATTTTAGAATAGGTCTATCTGATATTAATATTTACAGTATATAATAAATCAATTTGTTCTTGTTTGTAATTTAGATAATAGTTTTGGTAATATCTAATAATTAGATAATAATTTAGTTAACATGTTACTGTTATTTGCCACAAGTGGCAACCAACTTATAGCAACTCTAATATAGCTTTCAAGGTGTGAGATATTTAAGGAATGGCTTTACCAATACTACTTCCGCAGTGAGTTTCCATAGCTGGGCTGGGATTTAAACTCAGGTCTTCTGGGTCCTAGTCCATCATTCTATCCTTAGATAAGACACACCCAGACACCAGTAATACAACATTTATATGAGCACTGTCTTCTAGTAGAGTCGAGTTCTGATGGTTGTAATTAAAGGGTCATATATGTGGAAAGGATTTGGTTTACTGCTTGATCAGTAGCCTGGAACTAAATACATCCAAATATACATATTCATGAAAAGTCATGCCATCTCAACCGTCATCTCCATGGCTATCTGTCAATATAGATATATTTAGTTTTCTCTCAACCATTAGAGCTAGAGTAACTGACAGACAATTGTTTCTTATGGTATGACAGGGCAAAAGAAAAATTGCAGGGCCCTATTATATAGATATTTTAAATGAAATTGGCTAATGCTGCTAGGAGTTTCTATCAGTTTCTATACAAATATCAAAGGAAGGATAAATAGGGAAACTACTATCTCCCCCATCTCAAAACTATTTATAACATGACATTTAAAAAACAAAAACAACCAAGAAAACAGGGTTGCTTTTTTGTGGGGGGGGGAAGGGATCTTCTTTTCAAATGCTGAAAAAGACTGACTAATTATATACTTAACAAGATTTGGCAGGTATTATCTGAGGCAATACAATGCAGAAATGGATAAACATGAAAGATAAAAAATTAGTAATGTGCATTTTACATAAAACAATTCTGTCACATAAATGAAGAACTATAATAATTAATAGTTCTCCTATTAGGGAGCAGGACGGGTAGGTGGGGCTGATCAGCCTTGGAAGGCAGCCCATCTAGGAGAAGGAAAACTCCGATTTCAAACCTCCACTGCCTTGTGGCTATATCCACTGATGGAAAAGGCTTCGGGAGTTACCCTCGAGGCAGAATCCGGAACCGGAGTCCTGGAGGCAGTTTGTGTCGTTCTGGCAACTCCTGCGATGTCGCTGGAACCAGTTGTATTGACCGCTGGGTGCAGCACTACTCTGAGCTATATTCCAGAGAGAATGTAGTAACCGAAGAAGCATTAAATAACATCGAGTGCCTGCCTGTCTTGGAAGAGTTGGACAGCGAACCAATCTTAGCAGAAATAAAAGCGGACTTGGATTTCCTCGCCTCCAGCAAGGCACCTGGAAAGGATAACATCCCTGTTGAAGTGCTGAAGTGCTGTAAAGAGACCATCATTACCCAACTGTATGAAGTCTTTTATCTTTGCTGGAGGGAAGGTGGAGTACCACAGGACATGAAGGATGCAAACATCATCACACTGTACAAGAACAAATGAGACAGACACGACTGCAATAACTACCGTGGCATCTCTCTTCTGAACGTTGTAGGGAAGCTGCTTGCCCATGTGGTCCTGAAGAGGCTCCAGGTGCTTGCAGACAGAGTCTATCCAGAATCACAGTGTGGATTTCGAGCTAATAGATCCACCACTTACATGATATTAGCTTATACAGTTACTCTTATACATTTGCAGGAGAAATGCAGGGAACAACAACAGCCGCTCTTTGTGGCCTTCATAGATCTCACAAAGGCCTTTGATTTGGTTAGCAGGGACGGCCTTTTCAAAATACTACCCAAGATTGGATGTCCACCTCAACTCCTTAGCATCATCAGGTCATGAGGGAATGAAGGGCACTGTAGTTTCTGATGGCTCAACATCAGATCCCTTTGACATCCGAAGCGGAGTGAAACAGGGCTGTGTCCTCACGCTGAGCCTGTTTGGGATCTTTTTTGCTGTCATGCTGACGTACGCCTTTGGAATTGCAACAGAAGGTGTCTATCTCTGGACTAGATCAGACGGAAAGCTCTTTAATCTCTCTAGATTGAGAGCAAATACCAAAGTCCAGCTGAAATGCATGCGGGACTTCCTCTTCGCTGATGATGCAGCCATTGTTGCCCACTCTGCTGAAGACCTCCAACAACTCATGAATTGTTTTAGCAAGGCCTGCCACGACTTTGGACTAACAATCAGCCTGAAGAAGACACACATCATGGGCCAGGGCATGGACTCACCTCTCTCTATTACCATCTCCATGCAAGAATTGAAGGTTGTTCATGAATTTGTCAGAGATTGCTCAGTGATCTCTGAGACTCTCTCCCTAGATGTCGAGCTGGATAAATGCATTGGCAAAGCAGCTACCATGTTTTCAAGACTCGCAAAGAGAGTATGGCTGAATAAGAAGCTGATGACATACACCAAGATCCAGGTCTATAGAGCCTGTGTCTTGAGCACACTCCTGTACTGCAGTGAGTCCTGGACCCTTCATGCACAGCAGGAGAGGAAGTGAACACGTTCCATATGAGTTGTCTCCAACACATTTTTGGTATCACCTGGCAGGACAAAGTTCCAAACTGAGTAGTCCTAGAATGAGCTGGAATTTTTAGCAGGTATACATTACTGAAACAGTGACGCCTACGTTGGGTTGGGCATGTTGTAAGAATGGCTGATGGTTGGACTCCGAAAGATCTCCTGTATGGAGAATTAGTGCAGGGAAAGCGCCCCAGAGGGAGACCACAGCTGCAATACAAGGATATCTGCAAGCGGGATCTGAAGGCCTTGGAAATGGATCTCAACAGATGGGAAACCCTGACATCTGAGCGTTCAGCCTGGAGACAGGCAGTGCATCACAGCCTCTCCCAATTTGAAGATACACTTGTACAGCAGGCCGAGGCAAAGAGGCAGTCCCGAAAGCAGCAAAATCAGGGAGCTAGATGGGGTACAGATTTTATTTGTCTTCAGTGTGGAAGGGATTGTCACTGTTGAATTGGCCTTCTCAGCCACACTAGACACTGTTCCAAGTCCTCCATGCAGAGCACGATACCATACTCAAGACTGAAGGATGCCTAATCTAATATACGTAATCTAGTAATTAACTTTATTAACTAATTATTTTCCATAAGGAATATATTTTTCATCCATCAAAAACTATAATGAAAAATTACTATTAACTATTTTTTAAAAGTAATCCAGGACACCAGGATTATTTAGTGATTTTTGACATAGTGACAGATTTATTTGTATGTTTAGAAAGAAACTTCCTTGTGGCATTTACAAAGTGCCAGTTTTAGTTACTCTGATTGGGGTCAGAAGTTCACAGCTGGCAGTTTAAGAGTGTGATGTGTTGATCTCTTGATGAATTCTTAATATTTCATCTCAAACTTCTATTCCCTCTGTCAGGAAAAAAAGGTGCAACATTGGCCAGATGTGCATCGTGGGCATATATTACATGCAAAAATGCTTATAAATTATTAACTGAGAGACAGTGTTTATTTCATCACAGCTTCAAGTTTTGTTATTAACCATTAATCTGGGAACTAGCATCATTCAGTAGGCTTAAAACTTTAATAGATAGACAGGGTGCGGTTTTCACTTTCATTTTTAAAAGAATAAGAATAATTAGATTGCTATTTATGAATCTTTTAATTGTCATATGATCCAATGGAGAAAATCCTTGTGCTGGTAAGGTGTGTGGCCCAGGATTACTGAGGAGGTGAGTGGCCAAGGAAATACAAGCACAGCTTTCCTCCTCTCCAGTAGCAAGAACAGTTGCTGGACAGGACAATTCTGAAATCGCCTTTGCTGCATCTTGAGATTAATGCTGGAGGCAGCAGCATCCAAATGGACACTTGATCTATTCAAATTGTGGATACACCCCCAGACCCAAGGTTCATGGGGCCAGGCCAAGATACTCAAATTGTGGATACACCCCCAGAGACCTGGAGTACCCAAGGTTCATGGGGCCAGGCCAAGATATCCTTTGGTGCAGCAGTCCCCAACCCTGTCCACGGTCTTGGCAGGACCAGGCCATGGAGACAGATCTCCCACCCTCTGCATGGATGGACGGATGTACATCTCCCCACATACATGCACGGATGCATGCACGCCTTCGCCCATGGACACACATACACACACACGCTCCCCCACATGCATGCACAGATGCCCTGCCCACCCATGCACGGACACATGTAGAGATGCATGCACGGCCTGCCCACGCACACATGGACACACAGGTGCCCCACCCCCACATGCCTGGACACACACGTGTCCCACCCACGGATGCCCCCTCACCCGCTAAACCGGTTCGTAGTTCGAAAAAGGTTGGGGACCACTGCTTTGGTGTCCTTAATCAATGATGTACTGGCAGGAGTAAGGGCAAAGAAATTAGAAGGTTTTATTGAGCATGTTTTCATATTTATGAATCCCTTGTTCTCTTCCCCCCATTTTAAAGGTAACCATTGTAGCACATAACATAGCGTATTGAGGGATAATGATAATTATTTTTTAATTAATGTTTTAAAGTGTACAGATTGGTGTCATAAAATAAAGTATCAATTGCTGTTGCTTTTGTTTACTGCCTGTTAGTGGGGATATCTGTTTGATTATTTTCAGTAATTGTACACTTACTGTTTTAACTTTTAATATTGTCCTTTAATGATGTAAGCCACCTTGGGCCCTTCTCAAGGAGAAAGGCAGGGTAAAATATTTTAAATAAATAAATACAATAAAATAAGTGTCAGTTTGGTAATCTGAATGAGCAAAAGTAATGCAGACTTATATTTAATTATATAGGCTGTAATGGTTTCATATAACAAAAGTCTGTGGAAAATAAGTTTCTTCCATTTCCATTTTTCAGGTTTTACCTCCTGTACAAATAAGTGTCTTAATTTTCACGTGGTAACTTACTTCAAAACTGATTTATTTTCTTTTTGTTTTCCCTCTGTAATGTTCTTTTAACTGAATTTACAGGAGCTAATTTTTGTACCGCCAAGGACCTGGCAGAAGAAATAAAATCATTGAGGGCTGAAAAAGAATGGCTGGAGGAACTTCTCAATGAATGGTCAGCACTGAGTGCCAAAAATGTGAAAAAATTAGAGAAAATGAAAGAGAGTTACAAGAAACTCAAGGAAGAAATGGAGCAAGAGGAATCCGTTTTTGGTAAGCAGAACAATTTTCCAGCAATTGGGATGACAGGATCCTGGCATTTTCCATGCTGTGTGCCATCTAGTACTCTGCCTGATTGGATTATCATCCATCCAATTTATATGACATATAAAAATAGTTATTTGATGGGCAGTTCTGACAGACCTTTCGATACATACTATGCTGAGAACGCTGTCAGCCCCAGTCTTCATCATTCCTGAGTGGCATTTCCCCCCCTTTGCTTTGCTTTATCTCTTTTGGTTCATTTTCTCTTTGCCCCCTGTAGAGAAGTCTGCTGTTTGACACCGAGAATGCCCAGAGCCTTCAGAGTTCTTGCAAAACATAATAGTACTCTGTACCTATAATCACACATGTGTTAATCCTTAGAAAGGGCAATATGACCATAGTAGTAGGCAGCCAGGCAAGAAAATTTTAGAGTTATTGGGATTTTGTTCTCTGAGCATGTTGTGTAAGACTTTAATCCACAGCATGTGTAATGTTTTGAAAGCAGTAAGTCTTTATTTACATGGAAGATTAAGGTGGATTTAGTCAGTTTAGGTACTAGATCTATCCTGAAAAAAGGATATATTTATCTATAATCTTATGGACAGGGCAAGGTATGAAGTAGAAAATCTCTTTTTATGTTTTTCCTGGAGTCAGTATGGATTTAAGTGCTACAGAAGGCTTTATCTGGGAGGTTGCCGGGATTGCCACATCAGACTGGAGGGGGAAACAATAAGACTGTGGTAACTGAAAATGACTCAGCCATCCACAGGGGAGGTGGAGGTAGCAGCTGAAATCCAAGAACAAAGCTCTTCATAGGTTTAGATGGCAGGTATCTTACCTCATGTGAAACCACCTAAGTTCCTAATGAGCCAAAAAAATGATAATGATATGGCTTCATTTACTTTTTATAAGCTATAATGGTGAGTTTAATGATCATATCTTCTGTGAGATTCAAGCAGGGACAACTCATCTCCTAGACGTCTTGATGTGAGTTGTCTTCTTTGGCTGAACAAAGTATGGCTTGCAGTCGTGGTGCCGAATGGAAAGAAATAATGGATCTGCTTTTAAGAAAAGATTGGTTCATACTTTGCAGGTTGGTTCAGGTAGAGAGGTCACCTATGCAAAAGGTGACTTCCCTGTTTTTAGACATCCTAGATGGTTTGTTGTATGGGGAATAGATGGTACTCTATGAAGAATTCTGTTTCCTAAGTGACTGAACTGGACAAACAATGCAGTCCTAATTTCAAAGATGCATTGCCTATAGGAACAATGGTGACAGACAGGCTTTTCCGCTAGCTGATTCCTCATATCTGTCAACTGATAATGTGTGATCTCCGAGCAGAACTGCTCACCAAGAAAGAGGTATTGAAAGCATGAAGGAAGGAAGGAGCAACATTAAACCAAATCTAAATATTCACCAGCCCAGGGATGCAATCACAACGCCAGAACATTAGATCAAAACAAGAGTAGTCCTAAGCAATTTCCAATACCCCTAGACTAGGAGGCATTTTAGCTGGCCTACTTTTGGATCACCCAACATTCAGCCATCTTGGCCACTTAGAACTGCAGAACAAAGACAGTTTCATTCACTACTAAAAATATGTGAAATCCCTCAACCTGCATCATTATTGTAGTCACTCTGTTCTTTCTGTCTACTTTCTGTCTTTCACATAAATAATACATGTATGTACATTTCTGCCTATGTATTAACACAGAGAAACTTTTGGATGTGAACAGTATGTGTGCCAGTTTGGATCTGATATCCTCTATTGAAATATCACAAGTTTTTGTTGGTTGCAGTGTAAACAAATAACACAAAACAATGTCTCTTTTTTGCGGGGGGAGATGAAACTTGCGTTTCTTGTGATTCTCAGACTGTGGAGAGTATAACAACAACAACAATCCCCCAAGGGTCCCCCAATCCAAACAGGTCTCAGCTGAGAAGCCAGACCAACTGTGTCGACCAACCATTAATTATGATGAGAGGAAATAAACAGAAATCTATACTGGATTGGTTGTTGCCCAGGTCAATGAGGATCACGTCAATGAGGACCACATCAGATGCTATAATCCCTGGGCTTCTGGTGACAAACGGGCTACAAGGCTCAGCAGACCGAATTGAGGAACCAGGACAGGCTGCTGCAAAGTCAGATGCTATAATCCCTGGACTTCTGGTGACAAACGGGCTACAGGGCTCAGCAGACCGTATTGAGGACAGGCTGCTGCAAAGCTACTGGAACAACGTAAATGCAAAACTTGGATTCCCATTGAAAATTGGAAAATCATGAAATGTTATTATGAGGCAAGCCCAACAGCCCATGGTTTTCAAAAAAGAATGATAGAAATTTAGAAAAGAAAACACCCAAGTAGTGACATAACTGAACAATGATTAATGGGCCAGAGAAGGTTTATCATCCAGAGTAAAGTATTTTCAAAATTAGAATTGCAAGAACTAGAAAATGTGGCAAATGCAGAGAAATCAACACATAAAAATGACCATAGTATTGAAGACAAATAGAGGGTAGAGATAGCTGCAATAGTGGAAGAAAATGTATCAATAGAAAATGTATCAATAATGTATCAATAGAGGTAACAATTTATGGAGTAACCTAGAAATTATGAGTTGACAGAAAGGCAGAAATCACTGAGGGAAAAAATAGTAAACCACATTATCTAGAACAGAGAAAGACAAAGTCTACCTGCTTTGCTCCAATTACAAAACAAACCAATAAAAGAACTACTGAATGATGCAAATATAGTCATCATAGTAAACCACATTATCTAGACAAAGTCTACTTGCTTTGCTCCAATTACAAAGCAAACCAATAAAAGATCTACTGAATGATGCAAATATAGTCATCAGAACAATCCCAACCAACATGCTAAAGGAAACTGAAAAATTGGAGTGCACCTGGTCCAGAGGAGTTGTACAGATTTTGGTTAAAGCATTTAATAAGTCTTCATGAACATATAGCAGTGCAATTCAATCACTTACTTTAACATTCTACAGCTGAAGATTGGATGACTACAGGCTGCACACTTCTGATAATAAAAGATCATCAAAAGGGCAATGAAAGTCATTATCGATGAATTACATGCCTTCCAACAATGTTCAGGCTCCTCACAGAAGTACTTGCAAGATCAATATATAATTATTTAATTGAAAACTCCTTAACTGAACAGAAAGAGAACTTTAAAAAGTCAAGAGGCACAAAAGAAGAGCTGCTTATTGATAAAATGATACTAAAGAATGCATAAAGATGAAAAAACAAATCCTAACATGGTCTGGATGCTAAAGGGCATTTGACTCATTGCTACACAGCTGGATTAACACCTGCCTAAAATGTTTGGGACTAGTAAAAATATCCAGAAGTTCCTCAAGAAAAACATGGGAAAATGGAAAACTGTTCTAATGAGCTATGGTGAAGAAACTGGGGAGGTTAGCATCAAAAGAGGAATATTTGAAGGAGATTTTTTGTCACTACTGCTGTTTAACGTCTCACTAATCCGCATGTCAATGATTTTAAATAAAACTGGATTGGGCTACCATATTTCAGAACAGGCAGGAAAAATCAATCATATGTTATAAATAGAGTTCCACAGAGATAGAATCACTGCTAAACACACTGCAATTATTTAATGAACATATCCAAATGAAATATGGAATTGACAAATGTGCAGCTCTGTCTATAAACTGTAGCAAAATCAAAAAGTAGATGAAATAGAATGAAAAAAGAGCAATATTATAAAATCACTATTGAGTAATGAAAATTATAAATACAATGGAATACTAGAAGTAGACAACATTGTGCACACAAAAGTTAAAGAACTGATGGTAAGGGGATATATCAAAAGACTGCAGAAAATCTTAAAATCCAAATAAATTGTTGGAAATGCAATCAGAGCCATAAACACATGGGCAGATCCAGTAATTAGATGCCCGGCTGGAATAATAGATTGGATCCAAAATGAATTAGAAGAATTGGATTGAAAAAGATGGCAACTAATAAACATGGATCATACACTACATCCAAAAAATGATGTGGACAAATTGTATTTATCACAAAAAACTGGAGGCTGTGGATTACTGCAAATACAGCAGGTAGTAGAGGAGGAAAAAAGAAGTCTAAATGATCATACCAGTACAAGCAGAGAAAAATTACTTAAGGCAATGAAAATGGAGAATATTTTGAAAACTACAGAAACAAAGGATCAATACAAGAAAAAACAAGTTGAAAATAAATTAAACAGCTGGAAAAAAACCAATACATGCACAACACGTGAGAAATATTGATGGAAAACATGATAATTCAACATGGACATGGCTAAAACTGGGGACCCTTAAGAAAGAAACTGAAGGCTTGGTTTTTGCTGCACAAGAACAAGCACTCCAAACCAATGTGATGAAAGCTAAATATTCAAGTAGTTAGTGCTAACAGTAAATGTCGATTCTACCAAAGAAAAAATGAAACTGTGTTGTACCTCATCTGTGAATGTCCAAAGATTGCACAATCAGATTAGAAAATTACACATGATAGAATGGAAAAATTAATGCATTGGTCATTGTGCAAAAAATATAACTTGCGAGCCTGAAAAAACCCATGGAAACATCAGATAGAGGTGTCAGAAAATGACGAAGTCAAGATCTTGTGAGATTTCTGGATCCAAACTGACAACCACCTTGAACATAACACACAAGACAAAGTAGTAGTAGAACAAAGAAATGTCTGGATCATTGACATTGCAATTCCAGGGGATGCCAGAGATGAAAATGAAGAACTGGAAAAACTAACGAAATACAGAGACCTGGCAATTGAAACATCTCGCTTGTGGATGAAACAAACTTCAGTGGTCCCTGCAGTCATTGGGGTTTTGGGAACAATATCAAGAAATTTCACACGGTACTATAAGCAGTTGCTGATCTCAGAAATAACACCATCAGAGCTACAAAAAACAGCAGTATTAGGAACAGTATACATATTGTGCCAATATTTAACAGATACTTAGGT